TGAACAAATATTCACACTGTGGTAATTTAAAAAGGAGAAGAAATAAGGAAGAGGCACAGAAGACTTACTCAACAAAATAATAGCTGCAAACTTCTCAAGTTTTGGAGAAATTTGGACATCCAGATCCATAAAGCTCAAGGATATCAAACATACAACATGAAGAGGTCCTTTCTGAGAAATATTACAATCAAATTTTAAAAGCAGCAAGAAAAAAAGCAGCAAGTCACATGTCTTGTATAAGGTAATCTTCATTAGACAGTGTAGATTTCACAGCATGAACCTTGCAGGACATAAGAGAAGGCCATAACATATTCAAAGTATTAGAAGGAAAAAAGCTGTCAGCCTAGAATACTATACCAAGATAAGCTTTCTTTCAAAGATACAAAGTCACTCCCAGAGAAGCAAAAGCTAAGATAACTCATCGCAACTGGATTAGACTTACAAGAAATGTATAAGGGAGTGTTTCCATATGTGACATATAAATCTCACTGGTAGAGGTAAATTGATTATCAAATTCAGAATACTTTATTGCTATAATAGTGGTATATAATCTTTTAAATGTCTGGTCGAAGATGAAAAGTCAAAATGGTCAACAAAACTATAGCTACAAGTATTTACGGAGCAAAAAATGTATAAAGATGTAAATTAAGGCAGAAAATAATAAATTGTTAGGGAGAAAGCAAAGTTTTATAGTATTTGTATGTAATGAAAGTTAAGTTGTTATCAGCTTATAGTAGTCTATTATAACTACACTTTTTAAATGTAAGCTCTATTCTGACCATAAAGAAAAAGTTATAGCAGACACACAAATGAGAAAAAGAAAGGAATAAAAATTTATCACTACAAAAAAGTTCATGAAACCATATGGGTAAACAGTGAAAGAAAAAAAGAACAAAGGATACATAAAACAACCAAAGAACAATTAAAATGGCCAAAGTCCTTAACTATTGATAATAAACTTGAATATAAATGATTAAATTCCCAATTGAAAGGTGCAGAGTAGCTGAATGGATAAAATACAAAACTCAATAACATGCTTCCTACAAGAGACTCACTTCACCTATAAGGGTATACATAGATAGAAGGTGAAGAAATAGAAAATGATATTCCATGCAAAGGGAAACCAAAAGAGAGCATTGACAATTATATTTATATCAGACAAGATAGACTTTAAGTCAAAAACTGCAAAAAAAAATAAGGAGTTCATGATATTGTTATCAAAATTCTCATGAATATATAATTACATATTCAGGAAGAAGATACAACAATTATAAGTATATATGCACTTAGCACCAAAGCACATATACACATAAAAAAATACATGGAGAGACTGTAATAAAATAGTAGGTGACTTTAACTCCCCATTTTTAGCAATGTACAGATCATTCAGACATAAAATCAACAAAGAAACATAAGATTTAAAGTGCACTCTGGACTAAATGGACCTAATTATTTATAACAGAATGTTCCACCCAACAGGTATAGGAAACATTTATTACAGAACGTTCCACCCAGCAGGTATACAAAACACAGTTTTTTTAAAATAGCACACAGAACTTTCTCCAAGATAACTCATATGTTAGGCCACAAAACAAGAGTCAACAAATTTTTTTTTTTTTTTTTTTTTTTTTGCAGTTTTTTGCCGGGGCTGGGTTTGAACCTGCCACCTATGGCATATGGGGCCAGCGCCCTACTCCTTTGAGCCACAGCACCACACCCAAGAGTCAACAAATTTTTAAGAACTAAAATCAAATCAAGTATCTCATCTGACCACAACAGAATAAAACTAGAAATCAGTAATAAGAACTTTGGAAATTACACAAATATATGGAAATTAAATGACTTGCTTTTGAACAGCCAATAGGTCAATGAAGAAATTAAGCCAGGCACAGTGGCTCAGGCCTGTAGTCCTAGCACTTTGAGAGGCTGAGGCAGGTGGGTCACCTGAGCTCAGGAGTTCAAGATCAGCCTGCAGAAGAATAAGACCCCCATCTCTACTAAAAATGGAAAAACTAGCCAAGCACTATGGCAGGTGCCTGTAGTCTTAGCTACTCTGGAGGTTGAGGCAAGAGGATTAAGCCCAAAAGTTTGAGGTATGACATTATAGCCCTATATCCAGGGGTGATAGAATGAGACTCTGTCTCAGAAAAAAAGGAAATTAAAAAGAAATTAAAAGATTCCTTGAAACTGCTGAAAACGGAAACATAACATACCAAAAACCTGTGGAATACAGCAAAACAATTCTAAGAGTAAGGTGTATAGCAATAAATGCCTACATCGAAAAAGCAGAAGAACCTCATATAAACGACCTAATGTTCTACTTAGGAACCCAGAACCAATAGAAGGAAATAAATAATAAGGAACAAGCAAAAGTAAATGAAATAGACACCAAAAAACAAAAATCAAGAAACAAGAGTTGATTTTTAAAAAAAAGATAAACAAATCTTTAGCTAGACCATTATCTGTTAGCATTTACAAAAAGTAACTCAAAATAGATAAAAGATTTAAATTTTAAACCCTAAACTATAAACCTGCTAAAAGAAAACTAGGAGAAACATTTCATGATATTGTTTTTGGCACGGATTTTTTTGGATAAGACCAAAAGCACACACATAAAAGCAAATATAGACAAATAGGACTATATATATAAACTAAAAAGCTTCTGTACAGCAATGGAAGCAAGCAACAGACTCAAGAGAAAACCTACAGAATGGGAGAAAATATTTGTAAATGAAGTGTCTGACGAAGGTTAATGCCCAGACTATATAAGGGACCCAAACAACTCCATAGTAAAAACCCAAATAATTCAATTAAAAAATGGGCAAAAGACCTAAATAGACATTTCTCTAAAGAAGACATACAAATGTCCAATAGGTATATAAAAAAACGCTCAACATCACTAACTATCAGGGAACTGCAAACCAAAACCACAATGAGACAATCCCTCTGTATATTTAGAATGGTTATCTTCTTTTTTCTTTTTTCTTTTTTTTAGATGGAGCCTCAAGCTATCCCCCTGGGTAGAGTGCCATGGCATCACAGCTCACAGCAACCTCCAACTCCTGGGCTCAAGCGAGTCTCCTGTCTCAGCCTCCCAATTAGCTGGGACTACAGGCGCCAGCCACAAAGCCCGGCCATTTTTTTTTGGTTGCAGCCATCATTGTTGTTTGGCGGGCCGGGCTGGGGATTAGAACCTGCCACCTTAGGTGTATGTGGCTGGTGCCTTAGCTGCCCGAGCCACAGGCGCCGAGGCTAGAATGGCTATTTTCAAAAAGACAAAAAATAAATGCTGTGATGGATGTAAAGAAATGGGAACTCTTACACACTGTTGTGGGAAGTGCAAATTAATACAGCTACATGAAAAACAGTATGGAGGCTCCTCAAAGATTAAAAATACTACTCCTAGGAATGTACCTAAAGGAAATAGAATAGGTATGTCAACATGTGTGCTTTTATGTTTATCACATCACTTTTCACAGTAGATTACATATGGAATCAACCTACATGTCCATCAATAGATGAATGGTAAAGAAAATGTTTTATACACACACACACACAGAATGCTATTTAGCTTAGCTGTAAAATGTAGGGCCAGGTGCGCTGCCTCACACCTATAATCCTAGCACTCTGGAGGCCAAGGTGGGTGGATTGCCCTGAGCTCACAGGTTTGAGACCAGCTTTAGCAAGAGTGAGACCCCATCTCTAAAAATAGCCAGTTGTGGCAGGCACCTATAGTACCAGCTACTTAGGAGGCTGAGGCAAGAGAATGGCTTGAGCCCAGCAGTTTGAGTTTGCTATGAGCTGTGATGCCACAGCTCTCTACCAAAGGTGACAAAGTGAGACTCTGTCTCAAAAAAAAAAAAAAAAGTCCTATAATTTGTGGCAAAATGGATGGCCTGGAGGATACTATGTTAAGTGAAATAAAAGATAAATACTACATGATCCTACACATATGCAGAATCTGAAAAAGTTGATCTCATAGGAGTAGAAAAAAGAATAGTGGTTATCAGAGGCTGGAGAAGGTAGGTGAGAGAGAGGATGCAAAAAACTGGTCAGCAAGTACGAAGGTACAGTTAAATAGAAAGAATTAAGTTCTGGCACAGTAGGGTGACTATAATTAACAATATCATATTGCATATTATTTCAAAATAGGTGGAATGGAGGATTTTGAATGTTCTCACCACAAAGAAATGATAAAAATGATAAATAAGGTGATAGACATGCTAAATATCCTATTTCATCATTATACAATGTATACATGTATCAAAATATCACACCATACCCCATCAATATGTACAATTAGAATGCATCAATTGAAAATAAAACAAAACTAAAAGAAGAGAAGAAAAAAACTTGGTAGCCGGAGATTTCTATTGCATGGTTGACTGTTTTTCCTAAGTAGAGGGGTAAAAATAGCTGGAAAGAAGTTACGATGTTCCAGGAAAGTGGCAAAGAACATACCAAGGAGATGACAGATGGATAGAAATCCTCTGACACCAACTGGCCTCCTGTAAAACTAAAAGTTACCAAAGCTAAATAAATAGTAGTGCAGGAAAGCTTACAGCCTCATATAGTCTTTCCTGAAATGTTCCCCAGAAAAGGAACAAACATCAAAGGCCTTCTTGGAAAAGCACACCAGTTGGAAATCTTCACCCAATGTTTTGTTGGATGCTCTTTCATTCAAAAACTACGGACAACCTGCTGAACAATAAGCTTAATCACCAAACATGGTGGGATCAGTGGTGGGCTTTGTCTTTTGTAGGACACTTGTACAAGCAAAAGAAGGTGAAGTGTACTTGAATAACTGGAAGATATTTAGCGTGGCTGAAAATAGAGAGTATTGAAACAGTATGATGAACCTATACACATCAGTTGAATCCAGACACTTGAGGGCCTGGAAAGCCACGTAAGAGTTCATGTTGGATTGTATCCTGATCAATGTGAAGCCACAGAAGATTTTTATTTGAGTTTATTAAAAATTTTTTCAAAGTAATACATGCACAAGGTAAAAAATTAAATAGTACAGAAGGACTGAAAATGAAAAACACAGTTCCCATCCCACCCTTTTTAATTCTAGTCCTATTCCCCAGAGGAAATTATTTTAACAATATCTAACTTTATATCATCTGGTAACTAACTTCCTAACTTTAAATAATATGTTTGAACAATAATTTCTTGACTTATTAATTTTAGGCAATCTTTAATTATTCCCCATTACAAAAGATAAGGATTTAATTATTTCCACTTTCCTTTGCCCATCTTTCTCCAAATGTTTGATAAATGAATGATTTTTTTAATACTATTGGTTTAATTTATAGCTTTGAACAATGCACTGATTCTCTAGTTCTTGTTCCATTAACTGGAGATGTTTTCATCCCAACTTTGAATATACAAGTAACACTATTCTTCCTTCCACTTTTCTTCTCCCAACTAATTCTCAATTTCTATCTGCTTTAATTCCTTTCACCATTAATTAGTAACTCTTGTCAGCATTAATTACTTTCAACTTCAGTTCTGAATTTTAAAAAAAAATGAGCCTTTCATGCTTTGTCAAATGCTGATCAGAATACTAGATGCCAAGAAATGATAGCTACACTATTTTGGCTATGAAAATACTTCATACTGAGAGATAAGTAGAAGCTAGGGTATCTTCTTCCCTATGCACTCAACATCATGTTGCCTGTGCCACTGTAAAGAAAATGCACCTACCGTCAGTGTCAACTTGAATCTCTTCTTGTACTCCATGAGTAATTCAAAATCATGTCTTGTTTTATTCTGCTTCATAATTGGATCAAATTTCTTGAGATATTGTTGATTTCTCTTTGTTTTATCTTGATTAAAGAATGTTCTCAAACATTCTGGTTCTTAATGATGCTATCTATAGCACAGAATGCACATTCTTCCCAGAAAGCCCAAGACTATCTGTTTTCATCTAAAATGGGTCTGATGGATAATTGTCACTCCAGAGTGAGACATCCTTTTGGATAACTGTCACTCCAGAGTGAAACATCCTTTTGGATAACTGTCACTCTAGAGTGAGACATCCTTTTGGATAACTGTGACTCTAGAGTGAGATATCCTGAGTGAGGTTCATTGTTCTCTGGATCCCATTTCTTTTGCCTTCCTGGTTCACATCCTCATTCTACTGTAGAACTTCCTCAGTGTACTTCCTCAGAAGGGTGAAAAAGAGGTAGAATTCTGAAGACTTGCATGTCAGAAAATATGTTCATTTTGATTTTACTCTTGATGGTTTCCCATGCTATGAAATTCTGGGTAGAAAAATTTTCCATAATCTATGTGAAGACATTGCTCCATTGACTTGGAGCATTTGGTATTGCTGATAAAAAAAAAAAAAAATCTGCTTCTATGTATTTCTTACCTCCTTTTTCTTGAGCTACTCAGAAGGACCTAATTTTTTTTTCATCTTGGGCACTTTTAATATCTTCCCACTATATTTAATATTCCATAATTTCAAAAGATTGTGTCTAGATACAGGGTGATTTGGCCCCCTCCAATCTGGCTAAGTTTGTTCTGTTTTTCAGGTCTTTTTATTTCTTTACTTACATTTTCTATGTTTTCTCTTCCCTGGGAATTCCTAACAGTTAGGTATTGATTGTCTGTGTCTCTTTCCTTTTTCTATATTTTCTGCTTATTTCTTTTTTTCTTTACATCTGGGAGATTGCCTCAACTTTGTTTTCCAGCCTGTCTACTGAGTACTTTTATAAGTGTATTTCACTTTCAAAGGGCTCTTCTTCTTGGAATCTTCTCTTTCTTTGCAGTTTCCTATTTTCATCTTACAAATATACTTCAAATCTCCCTGAAGATATAGTCATAATCTTGAGTTATTTTTTCCAGATTAGCTGTTTCCCTCACAGTTTGTCATATTTTGAAATTCCCTTATAATATCTGTTTGGTTTTGGGGTGTGTGTATGTGTGTGTTGAATGTTTCTTTCATGTTCTTCCTTCCATCTCACTTATGGGAATTCCTAGGTGATTATTCACATTTAAGATCCATGTAACTTTTAACTTTCACAGGAATTGGTGAGGCTTTCCTCTGCTGTTTCAAGGCCAGGTCTTTTGCTCCAATAAGCTTTTCTATACATAGAGGCACTGGGCACTTGAGTAGGGTTTTTACACTGTCAGTAGAGAATTTGTTCTTAAGTGGGGGGCATTTGTTTCCACAAAAGGAGGAATTTTATTCTGGAGTACCAACTATGACCTCTCCTCAGGCAGTTTATTTAATTCCTTCATACAAAAACAACAACAACAATGACAACAATTTTTTAACTGATACTGATAGTAGACTGCCTGAGTTCTGTGCACAGGGAAGGGGTAGAGAAGGATGGGCTTCATTTTACAACACATAATTTTTTAGCAGGTAAAGTTTTCAGGTCTTGAGTCTCTTTGGGGTTATGTTGTTCAGGTCAGCTTATATTCTGTCTGAAATGTACCTTCACTCTTTCACTGATTATCATACTTCATCCACTTTCTCTCTTCCAGAAATGTGTTGAGATCTTCTGCTCTTATAACCAAATCCCTTCAGTTTTCTTTGCTGAGATGTGCCAATTTCCTTTTGCATTTCTTGCCTTCAATTTCAGTGGGGCCTGAGGAGGGAGGGGAAGTAAACTTACATATTCAGTCCATCATCTTAAATCAGAAATCCCACTGGTAGTTTTTAGACAAGGGAGTAACATGAATAACTTTATATTTTTAAAAGATCCCCGGGCTTTAATTCTAAGCTATACTGCTGAAAATTGATTAACAGGGCAAGAATGGAAACAAATATTATTCTAAAAGATTGAGGATCTAATTTCCTCTCTGAAAACATGCACTGTCCAGGACCTTCGGGAGTCAGGAACTTTACCAAAATAGCCCATAGTTTAAAATCCAATAGATAGGGAATGTTTTCGTGGTGTCCTAAGGAGAATGACTGAATCTTGAATAACCCAGAGCTGATCTTAAAGGGCTCACTCCAGAACTGCCTATTGGAAAACACTTCAAGATCCTACATTATATCTTTCCTTTGAACTGGCATTTGGTACAAACAAAGGGACATTCTGTTCTGAAAAATTAGGTGAGGGATAAATATAAGCAGCCAAAGCTCTGGCAAGTAGAGACATCATGGCCTTCTATTTGCTTGTTCGTTTCTTTATTTGCTCATTTTTCTGGTCATTCAAAGCATTGTAGTTATGAATGCCCATTCTATAATCAGAACGTCTAAGTTCAAATTCCAGATCAACCACTTACTAGTAATAGCCTTAGATAATTTACTTAGTATCCATAAAATTCAGTTCTCTCTTATATAAAATGGTAGTGATAATAGTTTCCACCTCATGAAATTACTGGGAAGATTAAATGAAACAATTTATATAAAAGAACCAGCATAATAGCTGGCAGATACTCAAAACACCATAATTGATAGCAATTATTTTAAATGTTGAATGAATACTCAACATCTATGTTCAAACCACCTAGACAATAGATATTTGTGAAATAAACCAAATTAATTCTAGGATTGAGAAATGATATAGTAAAGAAATCCAAAGAAAAACATGATAGAGTTCACAGCCACACAATTACCAATTAGGCAAATAAAATGGTATATTTAAATAGCTAAATCAAAAGAAAGAAGCTAAAGGGAAACTGGCTAGAAATACACAACATCAATCCTAGGGGGACCTAACTAGGGACCTAACTCTAGTTAAAACTATAAAGGAATGGAGGTTCTAAGTGAGATTAGAAGAAAACTTAGGAGAATACTGGCCATGAGGTAAGTAAATGACATTTGGTTCAGCTCTACACAATTATCTTGTTCCAAAGTAAAGTCCTCTATGTATGTAGACTTACTCCGCCAAACTAGTGAGTAACTCTTGACAGCGACTGAATCTTGAGTCTGTGTCAATGCAGAAATAGAAACACTGTCATAAGGCCAGCTGTCTACTGTTTGCACAGTACAAACATTGTCATGGAACCGTTCTTTTTTTTAAAAAAATTTCCACTCTCAATTTAATCAAGGAAGAAATTTGATCTGAAAGATAGAATTAAGTGAAGAGACTAAACCCTAAGTAACTTTAAAACTCCTACTGTGAATTTAGAGTTTTGTCTTTAGATTCATAAAACAACACAACAGAATCCAGAATTCAGCGGAGGATGGAATATAATTAATTATTATTGCTCTGGTAAAGACCATCTAAAAGTGAAGTCTAGCTCTGAAAAGATATTGAGTTAATTAGATAATAATAGTGGCAGCTGCTGACATTTTCTCAACACCTACTTGCTGCCAGGTACTATTCTCATCACTTTTAGAAGTATTACAGAATTTAATCTTCACAATAATCCTCTGAAGTTGATCTCATTTTATAGTTGAGAAAACTGAGTCACAGAGAGGTTAAGGAACTTTCCAAGGTTATACAACTAGTAGGGAAAAGAACCAGGATTTGGATGTGGGGAATCTACTCATAGAGATGATGATCTCAACCTCTAAGTTCTGGGAGAGGAAGAGGAACAGTGAGCTCGTCATGCTGTGGCATGCCCTGCAGAGTTCACACACCTCTTCGGAATTATCACTCTGAACCTTCATGACGACCCTGTAAGGCAGGGATTTTTATCTCCATTTCACACTCACAAAAGATGAAATGATATCCCAAGAGTTAACTTTAGTTCTGGACTCTTCCCATTATTCCGAACTGCTTTTCAAGCACTTTGAAAACTACTGAAGACACAAAACACGTGAGTCATCAGGGGGCTGTCTAGTTCTCATAGTAAATTTGTGTTCCACTTGAGCTCTATGGTTGGGGTTTTGGAACAACTGATCAAAAACAAAAGGCTACAGAGCATCCTGTGGATGTTGGGATCAGAACCACCAAATGGGCTGTGGCCCACGATGGTGAATTGAGGGCTGGTGTAGAAACAAGTGCCAAAGGTCTCAGAACTGGGCCAGTGCAGTGTCAGGAGGGAATCTGACAGCTGAGAGCAGAGAAACAAGACTTATAAACAGAGGCCATGCTCTCGAGAAACTCTGGTTCTACTTTTGGGTGCATTCTTAACCCACTTGGGATGCAAGTCAGTAATAAGGTATGAGGGTGTAGCTAAGAGGACAAGGCCAGACCCTAGGAGGCAGAGGTAGAGGAGTGAATCCCCATCTCTGCCTACCTCCCCAAACCTCTCTACCTGCCACCTCGATGGGCACTCCTTACATCTGTGTGAGGAGGTATAATTTCATAATATTTTCCTTCCATTCAGGCAGATAGGCCAGGCTGGTAGCCACTTCCTTCTGGATAGGCCAGGCCCAGGCCTCAAAGAACGGAGCCAGGTTCTTCTGCACTTGGTGGGAGAACATCTTGACCCACAGATTCATTTTGTCAACATTGTCTGTGGGCAAGTTGGTCTGGTTCCTATACTCAGTGAAGAGACGGATAAATGGCTCCCAACCAAAGGCCTCCTGTAGCTGAAAAGAGAAAGAAAAATCAGGATTAGACATCTAAACTACAAAAAGGGGGTCCAAGAAAAATCATAATAAGTGAATTAAATGTATTTAACCCCTTACACATCACCTTCATATGTTTCACTGACCTTCTCTCCTCTGTTTTGGCTACTGGCCCCATACCCTGCTCCCCACATATTTTAATTCCAAGAAGAACCTTGGGGAAAACACAGTGCTTGGGATGAGGTATCAGTGAGGCCTGTGGTAATAATGGCAATGACCTTGATCAGTATTTATTACCAATATCATTGCTTATATAACTCAATAGATCACAAAAGACGTGATAGGCCATTATACAGGGATTTGAAATTGGCTAAAGTGAAAAACTGTTTTATCTTTCATAGTTGCAAAGTTAAACTACAATTGGAAAACTCCACCCATGTCCCCCAGCCTGACAATGAAATCCTCAGTAATCACAGGTCTATGTCAATTTATAAGTGACTTGGGTAGAAGCAGAAGACTATACACAGTCTGGTAAACTACATACATACATGGGGAAAATGGGAAATTATAGTGAAAGGTGTCTTAATTTACAAAATATTTATTATAAATTTCTACAAAATATTTCTCTACATGTTGATATATAAATATAAAATTATTAAAAAATGATACATAATGTAGAATATAACATGACTTTGTTAATCTTCCTATAATGGCAACCTTTGAGATACCTGTAGAATTAAGAGCAAAGTTATAATTTTAGAAAAAGGCAGTCATCCTGAGGCTACTGCAAACAGTCCTTGTTAGCCAGCTTTACAGAGTTTGAGCACTTCTCTAGACCAAGGCCAACCTTATTTCACTAATGAGCAAAGCAATAGTAAAAGGTTAAAGTAGAGTGCTCCCCTTTCCCCCCCAGCTGTTGCCCATCCTTCTTGTGCCACTGGGAATGAATGGAGAGGATCTTGAGCAGGTGAAAGAACCAGAATAGAGCATGCTTGGCTTGAGATTGAGTTCCAGAATTCAAGGTGATGAAACTCTCCACAGTGTGCTAGGAATGGATCCAGTCTTTGGGGAGACGGAACTGGGACACTGAGCAAGAGTTCAAAAGCAAAAGCAACATCTATCCATGTCCAGGCCACTGAGGAATCTTGGATTGCCTACATAAGTGGAATCTGAAGCACAGCCAAGTCACAGTGAGAAGATAGTACATTGGTCACTATAAAGTTTTGAGACAGGCTGTGTTATGGTCCATTATTTCACTTCTAAGAAACACAGTCAAGCAGTGTCCCTTCTGATTCACCTGGGCAAGTTTCACCTTGCTTGGCTTATCAGTGTTGCCAGAAGGGCTTCATTTGTCTCTGACCTCACAGATTTTATGTTTCTTGATTTTTGTGTCTCTCAGAACTTTCCTAACGACCCATGTATTCTCATCTAAGGAAAAAATAGGTCATGTTGCTCATTCTGTGTGTGTATGGCAGGGGCATTGTTTGGTGTTAGAGAGCTGTTAAGTAGGAGAGTTAGGCTTCAATCTCAGGTATGTCTTTAAAGCTAGAGAAAGGAAGTATATTTATAGCACTACATTTGCCTTTATTATGTTAACCTTTCTCCGTGCTTTCCATTCACCCTCACGGTATCTCTGTGGAGTGGAGGGTGAAGCTGAGGCTATCATGTCCCCCTGAGGGTTACGAAAAACAATGCACTGAAAGGCAACATCAAATAGAACTGTCTCGCTGGGATTTTGTCAAGGCCTCCTGTGACCTAGTGTGGGAACAGGTACAATGGGAGGTCTCCTGGTTACCATCACCTAACCATGTCACCATGGTGCTCCCCACAGTAGAGGGCTCCCATCATCCCCCTTGCCCAGTACCTGTAAATATGTTTCCAATGCAGTCCATGCATTCCAGTTTTTCAAATTGGGCCCCTTGCTCAGGTAGATTCTGACTCTCTTTTCCCGAACTGGGGGCCACAGGGCAATATTGGCACGGGCTCGAGGAATGCCCAAGACCGTCTCATGCACGTAAACACACCACAGGTTGCAGGTGGCCTCGGTGGTGTGAGGGGGGAACTCCCATTCCTGCCGCTGCTGGTTGCGGCCCAGCTCGTGGACAGGGCCCCACAGCCCCTTGGTTCTGATGAGCTTCTCATTGATGAGCTCTTGCACTGACTCCAGATGACACATGATTGGGTACCCCGCATGCATCCAGCCTGGAAGATGCAGGAGGGAGGAAGAGAGGGTTAGGGTTCTCCTCACTCAACTCACAAAATTCTTCTCGTATTGCTTCTTTCAAAATACTCAGTCGCCCTGGGCGACTTCCAGCACCCATAATGCTCAGAAGCGCAATGTGAACCAAAGCCCTCACGGGCTTCCTTCCTAATCCTCTCATTCAGTAAGAACACCTTTATCTCATTTGGATCTGGAATATGAAATTGTGTGGCTATGGAAGGGATACAGGTTATAAAGGGTCGTTCATGTTCCCACTTGATTTTTCTGTTTTTATGAGGATGCCTTATCTATGTTAACCTGTGTCATTAAACCCTTTTTTCAAACTTAGGAACTCTTTGAGGAAGTTCTCCCTCTCATTACTCAGATATGGAGTTTCACACATTGACATTACTTTATAGTGATTGTCTATGTAAGCCAAGAAAATGAGGTTGTGGAGAAATTTCTGTGGCTCTTTAATGTCTATATACGCCTCTCCCTTTTTAAGACTCCTTGACCCACAGGCAATGTCTTCTCAAAGTTGTAAAATTCCCTCTCCCAAGTATTCTGACCTAGGGCAAGGCCCTCCACCTGTTTTATTCATTCCTCAAAGTCCCCTAATAGACACCTGTGAAAGCCCAGGTGACATGGTTTGATGTCTCTGATGACATGCCTTGACACATTAATAAATTGTTCTTTATTCCTTATATACACTTTTTTCCCTTCCCTTTAAATATCATAGGTGGTATTGCCTCTGTATGTCTTGCTAGCAAAACATACTTCCCCTTCAGCTAACTGCTGCATGGGTGTTTACAGAAAGAAAGGCACTTGCAGGCAGCACGCACAGAGGGCTGGCTCAGAGCACTCACCAACTGAGATCTGCACGTCGGCAACAATTCTCTGCGGCAGACGCAATGGGAAGGTCTCTCCTCCCAGTCGAGCCACAGCCTGCATCACCTCGTCCCAGAGGCGGAGCAGTGGCTCCGGGTTCTCCAGGGTACGGAGGTTTGCTGTTGGTACTGTCAGGATGACGTTGTCTGTGGCCAGCTCTCCCCAAGGACCTGGATGCTCTTGGATGCGCCTTTTCCACTCCTCCTGGGATGTCTCCCCTAGGAAGAAAGACCATGGGCTTGAAAACCACTTTTCCTAACCTCATGAGTTAAAACATAAACTTGGGCCCTGGAGGACAACTCAAAGTCATGAACAACAGTATCTTCTTTGTCCCTTTCCTATGAAGTCCCCAGGGGTGGGGCCTGATCTTGACCTAGGTGGCCCCCAAGTTGAAGGTTAGGAAGGTGACCCTCCTTGGTCCACTAATGTGTTTCTCTCCCCCTATACCAAACAGTGTGCAGTCACCTCCCTCTCCTGCAGGGGGTGGCCCAGGGCTCCACTCACCCAGTTTATAGTAGGGGGCATGCACAGCCCCCTTCACGGTGATGGGCACAGAACCCAGTTTGCTGCTCTGAGGAACGATGATATAGAGAAGGCCACCCCAGAGGCAGGTGATGGATTTCATGGGTTTGTCCAGGCAGCAACGGTTAATCACAAGTGGGCCTCGGAACAGCTTGCTGGCCCTGGTCAGGTCATCTGTATGGCAGCCAATCTGTATCTGGAGCAGAGAGATACCCCACAGAGTCACTATAGGGCATGTGTGTGTGGAGGAAGAGGGCCCAGGAGGTCAGGACCCAATAAGGGTCATTAGGCCATAACCCCATGCAAACCTTGATAAACCCTGAAACTATAGCATTTCATAAGGTCATTATATGTAAATATTTTCTTAAGGGATTCAAATGGCTCCACAATGGGCCAGATAGAGACCTTAAGGTGAGGAGCACCAGCTATAACCCAAAAGGCCAATTCTGAGGAGGATCAACTCCCACAGTTGCTTGGTACCTTTGAAACAGGCAGAACGCTCGGTTGCCTATCCCATGCTAGTGATTCTGGAATCTAGGACAGGAAGCATTGCCTTTCACTGCATAGAGACAGGGTCCAGTGGGAGGCGGTGTGACCTGGCTCAGGTAGTAAAGGCTGATGTGATTTCTTCCTGCTCTCCAAGGTCCCCCGTTGTGGGCAACTACTTGGTAAAACCCTGGCATTGTTTTCCTAGGTTTATCCCAAACTAGTTCCAAGACAGAAACAGGCACAGAATAGACCCTAATCAACACAGTAACCATCAAAGGGGACACAGCAGGATGACAAATTAATTTTGCAAAGGTGTGTGTGTGTGAGAGAGTGTGCTGGAGCAGAAGGGGAGTCGAGCAATCGAGGAACAGGCTTTGCTGTCAGGTGGAAGCAGCCGGACCTTGCTCTACCATGGGAAATGTACATGGCGCTAGAACTTGAACTAAGGTTTACAGAACGGCTGCAGTGCACTAGGGAACCTTCTGTCGGATCTCTCTCATTCCCCACTCTATGACATAAGTCAAAAGTTCAAAACTTAAGAGCCAGAGTTGGTTAAGTTTGAGTCTCAGGCTCTAAAATGTTTCAGTTCTGTATATTTAAATTAATTAACAAACTTTTTTGCACCTTGGTTGTCACCTCCTTAAAATAGGGTAAAAATACCTGTCCTGTATTGTCCATATGGTTTTATGAGAATCAAATAAGATAGTAATTGTGCAAGCAAGAGCCTTTGGGCTTGCTGTTCCACAGAGAGCATGGCCCTACCTTCAGGTCAGCAGAGGCAGCAGCTTCAGGCAGTGAGACTTCTATAATCTGCCTTCCAGGTATGTAGAGGCCGGTACTCATCCAGCAGTACCTGGTGCCTGCCAAAAGCATAGGAGAGGGAGTCAATGTCATCCCTCCATGATCCCACTCTCCTTAGTATTTCCAGAGACCTGTTATGGGCTCTGCTCATTTCTTCCCCACTGGCTTGTGCTGTCCAACTCAACTCTTCAAAATGCTAGCCAAAATACCAACCTGCCTTCTTCACAGTCCATGGTACAGGGTGGAGACTGCCCTCTGGAGGGGATCAGACCTCTGTAATGAGCTGCTGAAGTCGCTCTGTCCCCACAATACTGAGATCCCTCCAGCCCTCATCCCTTACCTGGATTGGTGCAATTGACCTCAACGGTGATGGGAGACTCAGAAGGGCGCAGGTAGGGGCTGCTGTAAGCATCATCAACTTCCGGGACTAGCAGAGAGAGGTCACTTCCAGAGTGGGCCAGGCCCGTGGCCAGGGAAAGCATAGCTCCCCTGCAGCAGTCATTGATAACGGGGTTCTCACGGGTGGCTACAGGGAGCCGGTATCGACTGAGCAGCTTCCTCAGGAGTCGGTGCACCGACATGTAGGCAGGGACCTCTTCCGCGGGAATCTGAAGGAAAGCTGCTCCGTCGGGGCCCAGCTTTGCCAACCAGCCCTTTTCCACATTTCCTCTCTTCCTGCCCATGATAACCTGGAACTCGGCCAGGGTGGAGCGGAAGTGATAAGTCCTTATCCCAGCTTTAGGAGTACGAAAGGGCCCTGGGTTGAGGCTTTGGCTGGTGATGCTGATGCCAAAGGGGTTGAGGAGGAGGTTTCCTGGGAATCGAGCCAAAGGGGATACTCCTGGGTTCTTGAAGGCCCACCACCAGGCTTGGGCTCCAACGAACAGTCCACCACCCTCTGCTACAAACTCCTGCAGCTCTTTGACCCCCACTTCACTCACGGGTTCAAAGCAATAGACACTCGCATCACTGGTCAGGTTGGGCTCAATGCTGGCATCTATGCCCCCGACTGCAAGCAGGCTACTCAGAGTTCTCAGCTCTGTCTGCACCACGATCTTGCCTCTGCGGCCCCCATCCAGCCAGCGGACAGCATTGAGCAGGAAGGGGCCGAGTTTGTTAACGGTGAATAACACCTTATGGCCGGTCACCACCACCCGGCCGCGGCCATAGCGGGCAGCCGCTATCACGCAGCCATGGTAGGAATCTAACCCCAGAGGGAAGGCTAAAGCTCCGTGCACTAGCAGCTGAGATGGGAAACAATCCGAGTTACTGATGTCCAGCTCTGAAATCCCGTGCAGAAGCTCTTCTCTGTCCTCAGAGAGGTCATCTTCGCAACTGCAAAAGACACATGCATCCTCTGTTAAAAGAATGGTTCTATGTAAAGTTCTTAGAACAGTGGCTATGGGCATATACTATGTGTTAAAGATATGTCAGCTTTGCTAATTTGTTATTTTTAGCTCTTAACAGGAGAATTGACAGATCTGACTTCCTCAGCATGGAGACTTGTTGGAGAGCAGATAGAGGGACTCTGCATTAATTGTACTCCTCATTCTCCAAACACTAATCTTCCAGAGGAAAGAGCAAAAGTAGTCTCACTGGGTTTACCTAATATCACATCTTAAATATTCTAGATTTAAATTCATGTTTATTTTAGCCCTTTAAACATCACATAAAAATAGAATGGGAATTCATGTTTTCTCCTCATAAGGAGTCTTGTATACAAATTTCATGTGGCTAATTTCCTACAAATAAAGTCTATGGAAAGCTAAGCTAGTGATACTACAGGAGAATCATTATTATCTGAAGAGGTGGGCAGGAGAGCTTGACTGGCCTCAACTCTAGAGAGACACTCTGGTTACCTGAGCCCAAGAGGACTTGAGGACTTACATCCAGAACTGCACTCACACAGTTTGCCTGATCAGAGTGACACACATCAATGCTATAAGGTTTTGCTCAGCACCATCTGCTTGCCATTTCTGGGGAAATCCCCTCCTAGAAGACCCCAGGGTACCCATAAGCCTCAGATGGGAGATGGAGGCTGGGATGTGGGCCACCTGGGGATAAGGGGTGGAGTGGCCCCTACAAGCTTGCACTTCCAGACCTGGTTCTGCCACTTTTGTCAGGCTAACCTGTGGCAATTGTATGGTCAAAAGGCAGCTGTAAGGAGACACTGAAAAAAAAAATAGGGTCAGGTAGAGAGTGTAGTTGCAGTATTTGTGTGGTACTCTCTGTGGCTGGCAGAGTACTAACCCATGGGTGGGCCAACTGCATCCTCTTAGCACATGTGACCCTCTCCTGAAGACAAAAGCACCCCTTCTCATGGAGATGACTCTCCAATTCCTCAAAGCATTAAGCCTAAAATCATCTAGCTCTACTTGCTCTGATTCCAGGCTGACCAAACAACTGTGATTATAATATCACTTCCCAGTCACCTGCCTAATGAGAGGAAGAAGTCATTGGCCAGGCCAACCAGAATGTTCTACTTTGGTGACATTTATTTTTCTCAAGTAACATCTTAGACAATCTACCTTTAATTGGGTTATTCTAAAATTTAAAAAAAAACTTTTTTATTTTAGTACTTTAAGTGTATATACAAAATAAGATGAAAATGTGTTTTAATTCTTATAATAAATTCTTTTTATGAATCTCATGCAGTTAACTTTTTTTTTTCCCGAATAAAGTCAATGAAGAAGTGGGTTACAGTGCTCCAAATTAATGCATTAGCATCAGGGTATCTATACAGGCCCATTGTGACAATGTAAGAGACACTGAACTTGCAAAGCTGACACTCAAACATGGTCCCTAGACCCTCATCTAAACAGTGATACTGTGAGAGGCCCTGTTCAGCCTTGTACCCAAGGGGTACCCTTCCAGCTCCAACAACCATGGCTTCTACATAGGAGGAAATGAATAATTGTTTCATTCCCTGAAGAAATATAAATTGCATTTTACTTCTCTTTCTCACCCTCTTCTGAAATAAATAAAAGTTATCAGAATAAAAATAAATTTATAAGATCACTGGATTTTAAGAAGCATATATTCAGAAAACTGGGATGGAGTATTTATAGAAAATATAACTCAAATGGAATCAAACTGATCAGAAATCTTTGCAAACAGGAGAATGTGTAACTGTATATATGTGAAAAGGAAGATCAAAAGGAACCAGAGATTATATTTGTTCTGAAAAATATATTGCAGTAACCAATAATGATCAATCTAAAATTTTAATGCAATTTAAAATTTAAATAAGCCAGTAGATGATCTAATACATACCCACATAAGAGAAAACTCAAATCAATTCAAGGTTGGGGGGGGGCAGAGGAATGAAGGAGTGGGTAAAGAAAGAAGGGAAGGGGATTATGGTGTATGGCATATCTCCTGGAAGTGGGACACAGTTATAAGAGGGACTTTACGTAACAAATGCAAACAGTGCAACCTAATTCTTTGTACTCTCAATGCATCTGAACCAATGAAAATGAAATAAAAAATAAAATTTAAATAAATAAGAATCACCGAATATTTGATGAAAACTAACAGCATGAAAGAGAAGCACCAAACTAAATCAACTCTCAAGAAAATAGTAGCAATAAATGGAGAAGACAGTTCTAAACAAGTATTTCATATCATTGGAGAATTTTGAAAGGCATATCTCAAAACAAAATGGAAGAGATTGCTAAAAGAAGTTAATGATTAGAATAAAAATGTAGTGATCAAACAGATAATCCCAATTTTAATACAAAGAAAAAATAAGTTTTGATCTAGTTAAAAACTGTGTATAAATAAACTAGAAAATTGAGCAAAGTGATTTTTTCAGAAAACAATGCTAAAAAAGGAAGATCTAACATCTAGCAAATTAGAGTTTCAAAAAGAAAGGGCAGAGAGAAAAAAGAAAAATCAAACACAAAATGAGATGAATATTTCCTTGGGCTGAAGACACTTGGTTTAAATTTTCAGAATAAAATGATGATCTGAATGCAAAGCAGGGTAAATGAAATGAAATGCAGTATATAATCAATTAATGGTGAATTTACAAACTTCAAATATAAAGAAAAATATCTCAAAGGCCCCCAGAAAGAAAATAACAATTATCTACAAAGAAACACGTATTTAGCTATATAAGATCTTTTTCAGAACCTGAGAATATCCCAGATAAAATGGCTTATAAAATTCACCATACATGAAACTTTTCCAAAAAGTTACTTAAGATTTCACTGCAGGCTTAGAAAAATGAAAATGAATACAACAAAGGAATTAATTGGCTACAGAATTGTAAGTAAGTATACTAGTATAATTCATAACCAATGCTGAAGACTGCTGATAGGGTTCTAGGACACTTGACATAATTGGTAAGAAAGAAGTACAAATTAGTAGAGCTATGACATTAAAAACAAAAAACAAACTGAAATTATGTAAAACTAAATTGAGACCTAAGTACCAAAGTTTTCAACAAAACATGGGAGATAGGAGATAGGCACAAAAAGTGGATCAGTGAGACAAGTGAAAGTTCTTATCTTAAAAGGAATATCATAAAAGTCAGAAAAATATAAATTCATTTAAAAACTAAAACTGACAAGGTAAGCATGTATATTTGCATATAACAAAGGTGGCATCTTAAATTTATGGGGAAAAGATTGATGTTTTTCATAGATGTTGGGACAAGTGGATAGCCATTTTAAAAAATAAACCAGACCCATATTTCATGGAATACACATGAAAAAATTCCAAATGCATTAGAGATATACATTAAAAAATAAAATCACACAAATAGTAGAAGAAAACAAGGTTAAATTTTTAAATAATCTATATGTAGGGAAAAGCTTGCTAACTCAAAATCACATGTGATAATAAAAAGATTGATAAAATAAACTATATGAATATATACATAAACATTTTTGGCAAAAATACTAAGCACATTTAAAAGGCAAATGCAATATAAATAATTGCTATGAGGAGTATTCTTAATCTGTAAGAACTCTTAAAATAGAGAGAACACCAAAAACCCAATATATAAGTGGGCAAAACACATGAACAGGCAATTCACACACACACACACACACACACACACACACAAAACCAGTAAGTAGCTCTTAAACATACAAAAAGGTAACTGATCTTATTCATTATAAGAAAAATGCAAATTAAAATTATATTAGAATTCCAAAAACTCACAAGTCTGACAACTACTCTGTTGGCTATCTGTGAAGTAATAGGCATTCTCTTACATTGTTGATAGGAATATGAAGTAGTAAAAACCAATATAAAGAATAATTGGGCAAAAGTATGCAGAATTTTATTTGTTGACTTAGCAATTCCACTTTTTGGGTAAAAAGTTACCCAAAAGGTACATCTCCAACAGAGTGAAAAAACTTATGCACAAAGTTATTCACTTCAACATTATTGATAATACCAAACATTATTGACAACATAAAGACCCATACATCAGAGACTGGCTACACAAATTATAGCATATCCAGAGTGGAATACAAAATCATCATAGAAAACAATAAGGAAAATTTCTAAATATTGTCAAAGAATGACTACCAAGACATGGTAAAAAAAGCATTATACCATGAACAAATACCAACAAGTACAAATTAGATCAAAGACTTAAATATAAGACCAAAAACTATAAAATTCCTAAAAGAAAACATAGGGAAAAGCTTCTTAATATTGCCTTGGCAATTATATTTTGGGGGGGGGGGGCTATCAGACAAAAAGTTCAAGCAATGAAAGCAAAATCTAAACATGTGGGACTACATCAAACTAAAGTGTTTCTGCACAGTCAAAGAAACAATCAACAAAGTGAAAAGCAACCTATGGCCTGGGAGAAAATACATGCAAACCATATATGTGATCAAGGATTCACAGCCAAAATATACAAGAAACACACACAACTCAACAGTAGAAAACCAAATAACCCAATTAAAAAATAGGCAAAATATCTGAATAGACATTTTTCCAAAGAAGACATACAAATGGTTAACAAGTATATGTGAAGATGCTCAACATTACTAATTATCAGAAAAATTAAAATGAAAACCACAATGAAACATCACCTCACACCTGTTAGGACAGCTATTATAAAAACTCAAAAGAGAAGGGTTGGCAAGGATGTGGAGAAAAGGGAATCCTTGCACATTATCAGTGGGAATGTAAACTGGTACAACCACTACGGCAAAAAGTAGAGATTCCTTAAAAAATTCAAAATAGATCTATAATATGACCAAGCAATCTCTCTACTGGGTATATACCCAAAGGAAATGAAATCAGACATTTATAGAGATATATCCACTCCCATGCTAAACATTATTCACTACAACAAAGATAACAATACA